AAGGGGTATGGGGCTCTCTGGGTAGAGAGGGACAGAGAGATAAGACAATGAGCCCTGAACCTAAACTCGGCCACCGCTTCGAGGAGTCAGTGGGCAGTCAGTCTGTAGTTCCATACCCCCAAACCCTCAAGCCCATGGAATGTCATGTTTTGTAAAACAACTGTGGGAATATCATACTATACTATGTATGACAATGTATAATATATATATATATAGATATAATACATTCTGTTGACTTCGCTTACATATATATGTGTATTTCTACATACAGACATATGTTTGTGTATATGCATATATGCACATATACATAAATAGATAGATAGATAAGCAAATAAACTATATAAATGTATACACATACATACATACATACATACATACATATATATCTATATATGTATGTATGTATGTATGTATGTATGTATGTATGTATGTCTACGGTATATATATATGTATATACACATGTTGACCGATTGTTTGCTTGAGATCTGAATCCTCAAAGACTCTACTCGTCTGCCCTCTGCCCGAAGCATCAAAGCCTTAGACTTCGAGGGGGCCGGGGCACCAAAGATCCCAGAATTCCTGAAGAGCCTCAAACTGCCAGAGTTTCGACGAGACGTTTGGTAGGGTTTAGGGTTTGGGGGTTTAGGGGTTTAGGGTTTAGGGTTTTGGGGCGATGATGTAGGCGACACCGGCTGAAGTAGATTAGCCCGGCCTGAGGCCCGTGGTCAGGAGCTTGAAGCCGGGAGTCTGGGGTTGGGTTGAAGCCTTAAGCAGGCCCAACTGTGCTCAGCTGCAGGTGTCTCCTCACGCAGGTCATCAACGGCTCCTCCTGTGCTGTCCTAGGATGCAGAAGATAAGTTCCATGGGAGCTTTTGTCCACCTGTGGTGGCATCCACCCGTCAATCATGACGGAATGTTCTCACATCTCTCCGAGGAGCTGCCTGGCAAAAAGGTGCTCATATAATCTGTATGAGGGCACGGTGCAAAACACATCCCTCTTGATCAAGCTGAAGACACCATGAAGGCCTCAATAGGGAAATCAAGACTCATCATCCCGAAAAGTTGCTCAGACCAAGGACCGCAGTTGTTGTACTCTTTCTGCAACCTCAAGTTCATGACCCCTATCCGCCGTAGCTGATCTTTCAATCCCAGGCCTCAACAGCACACATCCCGCAACCGCTCGGCCATAGACGAACGCTCGAGACAGATGTTCCCGGTCTTACTTGCCTGACATAGAGCATACGAGACTCCGGCTTCTTGTATACGGACATGCTAGCCCCACCCCCCCCCCCCCACCCCAATCTCTAAGGGCGCGGGTCTGGAGATTAAAGCAATCGGATCAAGGACCCATGAATCGGCCCATGAACCTTTCTGGAATCTGCGTCCCTCAATCCTGTCTGCTGAAATCTTCGGTTCGGGGTGCAGAGTTTTGGGTTGAGCAGTGAAGGATTCAGGGCCCAAGCCCTAAACCCTAAAC